ATTTTCCTATGAAATTTTTTCTTTCTAAATGTTGACTATTCAACGTGCAATGTAGTTTTGATTTTACGATTAAAAATACTTTTATGCATCAGAACATTTTCAAATTTTACATGCGAAATCTTTATAAACTCCAGATAATTATCAAATGTTTTCTTTAGAAAAAAAAACTTTATATTTTATTATTTTTCCATGTTGTATCTTTGTAGGGTTGGGTCGATTTGACTGACCTCGTAACCATCATAAAAAATTAGGAAATATAAATACAAGTTATGCTTTTTTCATTCTAGAATGACTACAAATTATAGTATGAAAACAAATGTTTAGTCTGAATAGTTTTTCATTTCTCAAGGGTGGGTGTGCAAGAATAGTTTCTAAGGATCAACTGGTCCTTTGTTGTCTCTAGCCTTCTACTGAGCATTTACAAATGGTTCTACTTTTAGAAATTTTGCAGCTGTACAATCTTGTATTATAAACCTCAGTGTTTATGTATCTCTTAGAGTGTGCTGTTTTATTCCTATTTCTAAAATAATATCAAAATGTTGGAAAGAGTGCAAAGCTAGGCTGCTAAATTTATACCTGGTTCATACATTTAAACTACAAAGTAATGTTTAAAGTATTGAATTATTTTCTCTGAAGCATAATTTCAGCTATAATGTTTCAGTTAGCTAAAACTAAGGGAATGGTATACATGATGATATGGCTTGTGTTAGGGTCAACACAATCCACAAGGGGGGCTGCAATCAGTATTGTCACAATTTCTGTTCCCCATATTGTGGCAATACACATAAATATTCCTAGAGCTACCTGTTGCTATTAACACTCTTACACTATTCAAATGTTTCCATTTCTGGAACAGCTTGTCCATGTTTATGAAGAGAACATGGCAGACCCACCACTATATGAAATCACACATGGCCATAAAGTTTAATTGTTGTTCACTAATATCGTGAATCACAATAGTGGTTCGTGATAAGGATCACACAGGAATTTGCTCAAAACTCTAATAGAACATTTGGGCAAAAACCAAATGGAAAAGCACACTTATTCTTTAAACAACACTAAAAACCTTTTTTTCCAACAGTTAAGACCACCCAAGGATTTCAATAGGAGCTTAAACTTTTACATGTAAGGAATGCACGAGCTAACAATGACTTTTGGGAAGTTAGAAAGAATACTAATAGGACAAAAAGTAGTGGATTTAGTTGTACCAGCCTATTCAATTGAGCAACATATTTCAGCCCTTGGCTTAGGCAGATGAACTATTGGAGGGAAGGAAAACAAAAAGGTCAGAGAAGGATGTGAATGATAAACTTAAGGACATTACAGGTGATTCCTTGACAAAGCATGTTGCCAGGATAGTCTGTGGGGTAAACAGGGAGAAAAAAAACACCTTAGATTATGGTACCCAGTGGCACAGGTGGAGGATATTACTGACACAGCAATGATAAAGGGACTAGCAGAGATGTAGTTTTTGTTGTGCATATAGGAGCTAATGATGTAGGGAAAGGTAGGTCAAAGGAGCTAATTAACAAGTATAAAGGGTTGATAAAGGCATTTAAAGAAAAAGGCTATAACTTAATTTTGTCAGGGATACTACTCAGAATTAATAGTGGGGGTGATGTTATAAGTAGGTCACTAGGGTTAAATGCTAGGCTTAGATTAGTAAGTAATAATGAACAGATTGGCTGGTTGAACTTGCAGGATTGCTTCAATGGAAGAAAGGGGCTTTTTGGAATGGATGGTTTACATTTAAATAGGATAGTGTCTCACTTGTTTGTTGGACTTTTAACTCAGCTGTAAAGGAAGTTTTAAACTAGGACCAGACAGTGGTGAGAGCCAGGATAAACTAAATTCAAAAAGAATAAGAGCAGAGAAAAGTTTGTCATAGGAAATTAGTATAGAAGTAGTTATAATGGTGGGCTTAATTTTTACTATTGTAATGCTAGAAGCATAAAAAATAAAATAGATGACTTTAGAGCACTGGTAGCAATAGAGGATTTTGATATAGTCGGAATAACTGAAACATAGTTAAAAGTAGATGGTTTTGATGACAGATTTATTTGAAATACAAGGTTACTGGCTATTTAATAGGAATAGAATACTAAAGAGAGGTTGGGAGTGGCTTTATATGTAAAATGTGAGTTACATCCTGTTAAGTGGAGGATATCAAAGATAATAACAAGGAGATTGAATCCAATTGGGTTTCTATTAGCAGATATAAAGAAAAAAGGCTTTTAGTGAGAATTTGTTTCAGACCACCAAATGATACTAATGAATGCTGCATATGGAGATATGGAATAATGATATTTTGGTTACAAATTTCAAAAAGCGAATTTTGAAAGGATGCAACAAGAATTATCTGTTGTGAATTGGGCAGCTGAGATACTTAGAGACACTGATCAGATAAAGGTCCATCTTTTAAGATTCAACTGGAGGTTTGTTTCACCAAAAAGCCAAAGAAATGATACAAAATATCAGTAAAACTGTGTGCTCTTCATGCTTTACTGATATTTTGAATAGGTTAAAATAGAATTCACTCAACTATTAAAATGCTACAGCTTCTTTTCTAAAATTCATGTAGTCACAGTTGAAACTAACATGCAATGCACTTTGTGTTTCATAGAAATTCACTATTTAGTTTGGGAATTTATAGATTTAGAAGTTTTTGTAAAATTTCTAGTGCTGTTACAACTAATTTCAGTAACACTAGTGTTAGATTGGATGTTTTAAAATTGGTTGAAAACATACAAATATAAAAGACTACATTCAGTTTGTCTTTAACCGTCCATTTTACTCTTTTTTCTTCGTGGGTGAGACTGAAACTGAAAAGGATGACCCCAATTATCATTCTGTCCAATTGCAGTTTTCTTGAATTATATTCCTAAATGAAAACCAACAGTAACAGTATAACTTATAAGCAAAACCTACTAAATAATCACAAGTTGGAATAATCGGTACTCAATATACACAAGTCAGCACATAAAATAAACAAGTGTCAATTTTTAAAAATCAACTATTAATATTATTAAACAATGGCTACGCTATACTATAGTATAATATATATACAAACATTTAATTAAGCTTAACTTACTTTTAAATGTGCGCACCACTACTAGTACTACTTAAACTGTGATAACCATTATTATTACTACTACTATCACTAATATTATTACTATTAGTAATACTAGTACAGGACTAGTATTGATAGTTTGTTCTTACTTGCGCAACAAAGAATTTGGTTGATGCGTTGTTAGGCTTAACGTTATGCCTTACCGGTAATGCAATTCTAAATTCTCCAATTCAACGGTACAAAACAATAATGAAATCCCTATGCATGAAAAAGAAAATCTAATATCCAAAAACCAATAAAATATAGAATACCCTAAATTCAAAGGACTCAAGTATTTTCAAGGAGGATACGCGATAGGGCAATACTATTACTAACACATAAACCTACCTCCATATGCTCTGCCATGGTGACACAAACTCTCTAACTGGGCCAATCTCAGCGTCAGATACGTAAAGAGTCAGACTTAATTCCGAAAGACGCTCGAACATGAAGGTTGCTTCAGCTATATCCCACGTGGTTAACGTGTAAATTCCCGCCAAAATATATTTTATGCATAAATAGTGATAAAATAATTCATACGCTAATTATATATATATCAATTAAGATATGCTTTCTATTAAAAAAGCAATAAAAAAAATTCAGAAACTATACTTGTATTGCATCATAATTAGTTTTTAATTTTTAATTTCACTTCCTAAAATTTATGAATACATATTTTTTGCATAATTGTATGATTCTCATTCGTTTTACATCACACATTTCTTTAATACAGTGCCCTGTGGCTCAGCATTAAGTTTCAAGTCTAATAACACTAAAATTCAGGGCTTGATCCTTCCGGTGAACACAGCGCAGATTGCTCATATTGCAACTTTGTGCAGAAACAAACAATTTTTTGATACGATTTGATTGTCGACTGGGCTAATAAAGCAAATTTACCTGTTGAATTCCAGTGAGCTTTCTTCAGCTAGTCCTACTAGGAAATTATAGAGTAAAGACGTATTTTAAAGATTGCCATGTTTAATTCAACGGAAATATCTTGAAAGATAGAAAGCTGTGGAACTAACCACAGCCTAGTAGAAATAACTATCTTGTCACGTGCACGACTACGTACCCTGCATTTTCTTTTGTTTTTTAAATAATAACGATTGTTTTAATTTTTACCAGCTTTATCCAGTTTCATTATTTTATAAGTAATGGGAAAACTCAGTTAAGTTATTTGATCAGGATCACTTTACTTATTTCATGAATTAATCTGTCGTTACGTGCAGAATTGTCTATCTCATACTTGTCTGTAAATCAGCAGTTTCTAACTGAAAATACCACATCATTTTTTCCAATCATTGATCTTATAATTAAGTAACCATGAACGCTCACAGAAATATTTTCAAGTGGGGCAAAACATATATGTAAGGGATCAGCTTTCACAGTGTAAGTCAACAAGTTATGTGTATATAAACGCAAACTCAAATTTACAAATTTAATATAAATTAGTAAAAATATTTAGTTTTACTACGATGTCAAGTTTTTGTCATAATATGTGCATTTTTTTGTGAAATGTAAGGGGTGCAAATGCCCCTTCCTGCGGGCGACCATGGAAGCGACTGTCCTAGCCGCTACGATGGCAGTTAATACCGTTGTTACGTCTCTGGTCGTTAGTTAATTTTCCGTAAAAATTCTTACCGAAGAAACTTTACCGATACAGGTCCTTTCTTAAATAAAACTGGTTTGTTCTTTCTGAATACAACTTTGCGATACACTTAATTTCAACAGTAGCTCTATAACAAACGCTATAATTCACAACGAACGTCTCACGTGCTCAACAATATTCTGTTCGCATACATTCAATTACTCATCACATTATTGCCGTCACGTTGTGACCCTCTTATATATAAAAGAATACCGAGATCTAGTAAACTCACGACATTTCACGAACGTTCCAGAAGCACGTGGCGTGATACCAGAGCCACGTGACCTCGGCTGTCGCAACAATATTATCACAGTTTCCTCGGCTGCAGTTTCACTCTCTCTTACAGTTTCTGATTGAACTGAAAGTTCTAGTTCTTCATGAACGGTTGGAGAAATATAAATACTCGTTTCGTTGTCGTTACTAGAGGCAACAGGAACAATGGCAGATTGATTCTGAGATGTTGCAGAAAAAATATAAAATACGAAGTCAATTTAGACAGCTTGTTAATTGGTTCTTTTGCAGCTTTTTTTGTTGTTGTTTAATCGAACCATTTTTTTATACACATGTTTCATTTTAGCAATATCAGACTTATTAAAATATACAAGTAATTATTATTGAAAATATTACTCATAAATTAAGTTTCAAAACACTGAACTTGGCCGACGTACAATGTACATCACGAGAAAATTATATCAATTCAGGGTTGCAGCATCAGACTTACTATGCAAGGTTCATATCAAGCTGGATGGTAATACTTGTTGACTTTTCTGAGTATACTGTGTGTTGATTCTATGAAATGTCGTCAGAGTATTTCACAATAAAAAAGTTTAACCATTTATATTTAGTACGAAAAAAAGTAAAAACATCTACAGAAATGCTTGGACTCAGATGAATGGTGAACAACAACAGAATATTATATTTTTCACACACTATTAATATCTCATATTCATACACTTGTGTACTTTAATGTTAACTAAATGTTTAAGATCGAACAAAGTCTCAACGATATATTTATTTACAAGAACATGTATTTCAACCAATTAATAATATTTTCCAAAGAGGATACGTGACAAGATCCGCTTGACTTGCGGATCTACGGTCACCGAAGATACTCGCCCTTTCAGGCGGGGTGTGTGTGTTATAATGTGACAGTAAATCCCAACATACATTGGGGAAAAAGTTGGAGATTGGTGGTGCTACCTTCACTCTAGTCTATCACTGCTAAAATAGGGATGGCTAGCGCAGATGGCCTTCGAGTAGCTTTGTGCGAAATTCAAAACAACCAGACAAACAAACCAAAGATGATACAAGTGAATATTTCACTGCATGGAAATGATCCCGTTTATAATACCAACATAATCCTATAATTCTAGTTAAATCATTATACATATTTTGTTTAGATATTGTTAAGGCTTTACGTGTCCGATATATAACAAGATTTTCCTAGGAAAATCCTGGAAAGAGTGAATCGTTTTGTTATACCCAGTTGCATTTAATTAACTTTAATTGTACAGAACGTACAATCCTTTTATTATCAAAATACGCCACGCTGTGCTTTGCTATTGTAGTTGCATATCTTTACTTGTAGCTTCTTCTTCTGTGATATACGCACGAAGTGTAAAATATTGTATAAAAAACTCTATTTTATCTTATATTTATGAACAATTCATCGGAGTAAGCCAGAGCACACCGTATCTTCTTTTGGTATATTTATTTTCATCTTTGTACGATTCAAAGGTGCCCCTTCTTGATGCACCCCATCCCCCGATTGAGAGTAAGGGGTGGGGGCTAACCACGCTTCGAGTTTTGATAAGACTGCTAATGTGTTCGATAAAGTCATCTCTTGAAAAACCAGTAAGTGAAACGCCGAGGAAATAAAAACAAAACTTCACTGTTTATTGGCTGTTTCTATTTTCTCTAAATGTATTTAAATTCCACTGTGCACATCATTACCATACTTTTACGGTGTTACGACAGCGGAAGTCACGTGACGCTAGTAACACGTCATGAACTTCTAGAACGTTCATGTCCCTTCCTGAAGTCTCGAGAGGTTACTAGATACGCGGTATTCTTGTATATATAAGACCGGTAAGAAGTGACGGCAACAATGTAATTGAACTGTAGACAGAGATAAAGATGTACTGCTGGGTTGAGCGCGTGTGTCGTTCGTTGTGAATTATAGCGTCTGTGATAAGATAATATCCAGTATCCAACCAAAACTTGATCAGCAATTTTTATATGCATTTTAAAGGTTTTTGATTATAGCGTCTTCTTTTTTTTTTTATATTGTTGGCACGAAAAGTTCCAGAGACCTGTCCAATTTTCTCAAATAACAACGATCCTGCCGATTGGTCTGAGCAACTTTCAGATACTAAACGCTGTGACAAAGTAGAGCGGGAGTCAACATGGTTGAAAATTAACTTCTCATAATATGAAGGGCAAAAACAGTTCAAGTACGATTGCTTTTTATTAATAAAATTTTGTACGTAACATGTGCTGCACATTCCCTGAACCTAGTAATACTGGATGCTGCAAAGTCCTCTGTAAGTGCAACGTCATTTTTTGGAATAATGACAAGAGTTTACACAATCTTTTTCGTCATCGCCGGCTCGTTGGGAAATACTTAAAAATTTGTGTTTATTTCTCTGAAATCTTAATGTGATACATGATGGGAATGTCATATGAATTATGTGAAACCATACGCTATAATTTTGGACAGTGTTCGAGAAACTCTGGAGCAACTTGAAGAATATGCACTTAAAAAAAAAAAGATGGAGCTACAGCTAATGGGGTAAGCTCCTTTCCAGCACACATTACCAAATGACCCTTCATTCTGTCTGTTGTAGTTTGGTATGTCGTTTTATTTCAAATAAACAGAACGAGCAAGTTGTTGTGGACATTTGACACATCCCTTGACGTTCTTGAAAGTGAAATCAAGGCCACACTTAAGTTTCTTCATAAACACAAAGAAATGGAATTTGTAGTTGTTCTGAAAGCTAAAACAATCGCTGGCGAGATGGATATTGAACAGGTATTTCCTGCGATTAGATCCCCCAGAAAAAAATCTTTTTGTGTGTGTGTGTTTGTATGTAGAAAGGTACCGATGAAGCTCACAGTGAAAGAGTGGTCAGACGTAAGCCGTTTTCATTAATAAAGTGCATTTTTACAACATTCTTATCACAATCACTTTTCATCATGTAGTAACTAGAAGATGTTTTGTACAATGTATCCTACCAGGCCTCTTTCAGTTTCCCCTAATTTGTCTTTGTAAATATTGCAAGAAGTACTGTAAAGTATATTTTTCTTCGTGCATTTCTTTTGAAGACCCAACTTACATGTAATGCAATTAAATTTCTAGAGATCATGTGATATAAATGCCGAGTGAACATAATGTAACTAAGGATTGTCTTGTATTTTCTCTTATTCATATAGCAAACCAGCCTACCTCCTTAAAAATATTAATAATTATAGTGTTAATAAACGGTATCTTAAAAGTTGCTATATTGGTTAAAGGTGGCAATTGGTTAGATGTTAAAACAGTAAATTTCTTCGTCGGTGATAATGAGTGACTTTAAAACATTGGTATGATATCCTTAATTTCTGAATAGGCTGTCTACGATATTTTAAAGAATATCCCTTAAAAGTTTTAAGGCTTATAAATGCGCTGGTTAGAATCACTAATATAACTTGGTAAAATAAACCTGTTTGCAATATCTTTTAATTACATATACCAATGATAAGACTTTAATAGGATTTCAATCTCTCCACTGTAATGCTAAACTTCATATTGTGTATCACATAGAAAGCCAAATTGCTGTA